TCCCCCCCCCACGCCAAACGGCAAGTACACTGGCATGTACACCACCTCTTTTCTAAAATCGGCCAATCAAATGCTAATTTTCATGCTAATTTCTTTGTCAGGACACCTTGTTTGCTCGCACACAGCTTAAAGGTCTGCGGTCTGAGCGTGGTTGTGTTTAGCTAAATTCTCCTGTTTGATTTGTACTAGGTGCCTCGGTGAATGTATATGCTCTGACTTTAACATAGCTATTTCTGTGACCATTTACAAGCTAATCACTCAGCTATTTTAATGCTAAATTCTATGCTAATTCCTTTGTCAAGGGGTGCCTCTGCAGATGTGTATACTTTAACTTAGCTATTTCAATGCTAAATTAAATGCTAATTCCTTTGTCAAGGGGTGCCTTTGCGGATGTGTATGCTTTAACTTTAACATAGCCATTTCTGTGACCAGTCACAAGCTAATCACTCAGCCATTTCAATGCTAAATTATATGCTAATTCTTTTGTCAAGGCGCTTTGTTTCTTCTCACACAGCTTAAAGGTCGTGATCTGAGCGTGGCTTTTTTCACTCCAGCGCTGTCCTCCAGATAGTCTCGTCCCTTCACCTGATGAAGGCCGCTTGTGTTGTGGCCGAAACGTCGTGATTTTTGTCATTTTATTTTTTACCTACGTGACTTTACCCTATAGAACCAAAGAGTATGGATCCTTGCAGTCACGAAAGCTTTAAATCTAGAAAAGACAAATAGTTCACTACTTAGCTCATCGGTGTGTTGAAGAGTGAATCCACAACATTTACATTTTTAGTACGCTGGTAATTACATGCAGCATCATCGGGCAATTTGCCAGAATAGTGAAGCCCTCCACCTGCTCCCGGTCTTAAATAGAGCAGCATGGTGACGTCATCATTTAACCAAATCAGATGCAGAGATCAGAGGCGGAGGGGGTATTGTCATTATATAAGATTAATAATTAGTTAATTGTTATTAGTAATCAGTTGTAGATTAGTAATTAGTTGTAATGTGTAATTTTTAATAACTGAACCCAATCACTATACCCAATCATGTGCAGAAATCAGGGGTGGCGGAGGGGGGGTTATTGTAATTATATAATAGATTATGAATCAGTTAATTGTTATGATTAGTAATCAGTTGTAGATTAGTAATTAGTTTTGATTTGAAGCTTTCGTGACTGCAGGAATAAATACTCTTTGGTTCTTTCGGTAAAGTTACATAGGTATAAAATTAAATAAATCACGACGTTTCGGGCGCAACACAAGCATCCATCATCAAGTGGGAAAGCATGGTCTGCTGCGGAGGCAGACTGTTTTAAGGTGTACCTCAAGGGTCATAAAGAAGTGGCCGGGGCTAGTGATGTTGATGTGAGAAATTAGCATGTAACTGTAAGATAGGAGAGCGGCCTCATCGACGATGGCACGGAAGTGGCTATGTTAATGTGAGAGATTAGCATGATATTAATGTGAGAAATTAGCATGTAACTGTAGAAAAGAAGGAGAAGAAGAGCGGCCTCCTCGACGAGGGAGTGCAACCCAACGGGTGTAATCCAAAGGGCCTGTGAGTATGAGAGTGCAAGCCAAAAGACATGTGAGCATGAGAGTGCAATCCAAAGGCATGAGTGTAATGCAACAGACATGTGCGAATGAGAGATCTAATAGAGAGGCACAGAGAGAGAGACACACAGAGAGTATAAATAACAGCTGTCATAGGCAGGTTGGATGGAAACATCACAGTCCGTTAAGACTTTACCTGGTTAATGACATCCTTCCAATGATTGCTCAGTTTGTACCCATCCTCTCGGTTGAAGTTGCATCTGTGTTTATATATTTGGATGGCTTCATGAACAAATCTCTGAAGGTAGCCGGTAGGTTTGCAGAGTACCTCCGTCTTGGAAAAATATATTTCGTATGAGCCCACTGCATTAAAACAATGATCGGCAATGGCAGAGGTATTGGTCCTACCGTGTTTCAGATCTGCATTGTGCTCACGGACGCGGTCCGAGACATGTCGTTTCGTTTCCCCAATGTAACTGCTGCTGCAACCACAGCTCAGTTTGTAGATACCAGGGTATTGCATGTCAGGAATCACATCTTTTACAGATTGGATTAAATCATGGATTTTGTGTATTGTATTGATACGAACCTGGATCTTGTGTTTGTTTAAGATTTTGGAAATATTTTGGTAACCCCTGCTATGTACGGAAAAGTGATGGTTTTGATTGGATGCTCAGAAGGTTGTCTCCGCATGGCTGGGGAGACAGCTTTGCTGATTGTACGATCCGAGTATCCGTTAATCCTGACGGCTTGGTGTACGTGCTCCAACTCAGTGGCTAGGTGGTGCTGGTCGAAGGTGGTGTAGTGTTTTGATCAGGGAATTCTTCTGGGCTGGATGGTGGTGGGAGTCAAGCTTTAGATAGGCATCCGTGTGGGTGGCTTTCCTGTAGACCGAATGTCCCAACGAGCCATCAAGTCTCTTCTCGATCAAAACATCCAGGAAGTGTAGCTTGCCATTTTTTTCCACTTCCATGGTGAATTTGATAGACGGGTGTATGGAATTTGTGGTTTAGAAATTGGTTCAGTGCTGACAGGCCATGTGGCCAGATGACAAACGTGTCACCTACGTATCTCTTCCACAAGGAAGGACGTAGGGTGGATGTCTGGATGGCATCTGTCTCAAATTTTTCCATGAAAACATTCGCTACCACTGGCGATATGGGAGAACCCATTGGGGTATCCCCATTTTGTCTGTATAATGTACCATTCCAGGTGCAGTATGTTTTGGTAAGACAGTGCCTTACCAAAGTTGGTACATCTGGATTCAGGCCTTGTTGGAAAAAGTCTTCAATGATTGTCATGGTGTCAAGTACAGGACATTGGTGAACAGAGAGACTACATCGAAACTGACAAGCAAATTATCCGGAGACAGTGAGATGTCCTTGATTAGAGAAACGAAGTGAGCTGAGTTAAGTACAGCTGAGGTGGACTTGCCAGTGAAAGGAAGCCGAATCTCAGACAGAAATCGGGCCAGTTTGTAGGTGGGTGAGTTAATCGTGGAGACGATAGGACGGAGCGGGGTACCTACTTTGTGGATTTTTGGAAGGCCATAAAATCTGGGTGGTCTAGCAGCCGATGAGATAATTGCTGAGGTAGAATCAACCATCAGACACCTTCCACATAATGAGGCAGAGAAGACTAGACACGAGGTTGCCAAAATAATTGAGAATAGCAAAGTACCAAAATTAAACATTAGCTCTGACGAAGCCAAAAGCCTTAAGAGAGCTCCGATTAAATAAAGATATTCAAATTCTGGCAGCTGATAGAGGCCACACTACTGTAGTGATGTCACGAGCAGATTATGATAATAAAATTAAAGATTTACTAGAGGAAAGTAGCTACATTAAAATTAAACGAGATCCAACGAATACTTTAGAACGGAAGACGACTGCAATCATTGCAAATTCCTTAATCCCTAAGACTGAGCAATACCAAATTAAGCCAAAGGCCTCAAAACCACCTAGACTGTATTGGCTACCAAAGATTCCTAAAATTGTCATCCCATTACGAGCCATAGTAAGTACAATTGGCTCTGCCACATTTAAATTAGCAAAATATATAACTAAACAAATACAACCCTACATCGGTAGGACATCTTCATTCATAAGAAATTCAGACCATCTTGTGATTTTAAACTTAACCCTAATGATATTCTGGTGAGTTTTGATGTGATTTCTCTATTCACTAAGGTTCCAGTTAATGAGTCGCTTAAATTACTTGATACACTAGTAAAAATACAGGTTTACCAAAACATATTCTAAAACTAGCTGACCATTGTTTAAATAACATTTACTTTTTATGGAGAGGTGATTTCCTTAAACAAAAGAAAAGAGCAGCAATGGGCTCTCCTTTTCTCAGGCTATAACAAATTTGTGCATGAAAAACTTTGAAACAAGAGCACTTGCCTCAGGTACATTAACACCATCTTTTTGGTTTAAATATGTTGATGACACTTTGGTTGTCTAGCCACATGGTAAAGATACACTTAATTAATTTCTAAATCATCTCAATGCACAAAACCCGGCCATCCAGTTCACCATGGTAACGGAAGTGAACAACATACTCTCTTTCCTAGATTTGGCTGCTATACATTTCCACCTCATAAGGCGCTTCGTTGAGCTATGGTTTGTGGTTTAGTCGCGTCTGAAAAAGAGCTACATAGCTAAGTGGGCTTTACCTGGTAAAATAAACAAAAGTTTTGTTTAGTTTTAAGAGAGACTGTCGGTTTGGAACAGTCTTGTTTGCTACTTTATTTTTGCTCACCCGTTTCTCGCCTCGTCTATAACCATCTCTCTCTCTCTCCCTCCTTACTCTCTTATACCTCACGTAATATTATTTGTCATGGTTATTGAGCAATGACCCAGAAGCCCAAACGCCAAATGACTAGGAACACACAACCACTTTTGATGGTGTAGTATATAAGAATAAACACGATTATTAAACTTAAAATAAAATTTTCAATGACATATTAGAAATTATATTTCCCGAAACTTTTCATGATTATTTATACGTTCAAAAACTGACTAAAAAGATCTACAAATTTAGTCAGTTTTTGACGAGCTATTGGTTACGTAATGACACACATTTGTTTGGCAGTGGTTCCAAGTGCTAAATAATAGTAATCATTATTAGAGCCCTTTATGAAACACTTAGTACAAATGAAGACCTCCCTATGCCGTGTCGGTGGAGTGGATCTTTGTAACATAAATCACCACACTGGAACAGTGCACGTTAGTCATAGACAATTCATACAGTACATCACAATGATGTCAGTTGCGTTCAGGATAGAACTTAAGCTCACCAGGACTCAACTAAGCCACCCCCTCCAACTCCTCGTGCTGTTTAGTGGTCAACAATTAAAGCCAGCGTGGCAAATACTCCACACGCACAGTCACATTGTGCCTGCTAAAAATGTGCACACAAAGACGCGATCCAGAGCCACACTTGCATTACCTGCAGAGTTCACCTTTTGAGGGGCGATGGAGTGAAGTTTATCCGCTGTCGCGTTTGCTTTTATACCGTGCGTTCTTCTTTGAGGTGTGCACCTTGGGAGGTTAAAAATACGCTTGTTGTGTGATTGTTTCTAATGTCGTGACCATTGCTGTGGCATGGTGTGTCAGCGCTCGTCTCTCGAGATCATTCTCGAGGTGTCGCCGGCCCTTAGATGGGATGTGTATTTGTGGAGACTGTAATTATAAACGTGTGAATTGGGTAACTTTTGGGAATTTAACATTGCCACGTTTGCATACTAACTGCATAGTGTGCTCTGTGTGCTCTCGTTTAATTTGATATGCAAGGAAGATAAAAACAAATGCATTGCCATGAAATCTTCTATACGACCCAACATGCGTTTGTCCTCGGTAATACACTTTTTTTCTCTCAGTGCCTATTGCTTTCTATGAGATGTGGTTTAAACACACTAACAATAACAAATAAAATGTAAAATGCTCAAATAATTGAAGGCGTGCAAAAATCTGAAACGTGTTCATAAACGACGGCAAATGAGAGGTATGCACACGAAATAATAATATCGCATGAAATCAAATGTTGAATTCTTTCTAGATTTGAAGTTTTCGTGACTGTAATGATCCATACTCTTTGGTTCTTTCGGTAAAGTCACTTAGGTAAAAATAAAAATAAAATAAAGTTAATAAAATCACGACGTTTCGGAGGCAACATAAGCTTCCGTCATCAGGTGTAACTAGCACCTGACGGAAGCTTGTGTTGCCTCCGAAACGTCGTGATGTTGAATCCCTCTTCTTTGGTTCTTTCGGTAAGGTCACGTAGGTATAAAATAAAATAAATCACGACGTTTCGATTGCAACACAAGCAGTCGTCCTCAGGCGGAAAAAAAATAATCCAGCAGTGGAACTGGTTGAATTCCTAATTGACGTTTGGGTCAGATAGCATAAATAAAATATGCCAGGCACCCTCTTACACCCTACACAACATATTAATAAAGTTGGTAAGTTATGAACAAGCATGCCCATTCATTGCTGCTTCAGCAGTATCACCGGTGTTGGAGAGGAATTTATAACATTTAACAACTGCGAAGTCCGACATTTCGCTGATAGTTTATCACAAAATCCTACGTGTAAAATCTTAAAGCTACCAAGACATTAATCACGATAGAAAAATATAGCAGGCTGAAAACAAGTTAATTCAACAAAACACAAATGTGGGCAATGTATGAATCATAGCTCTCCCCTGTTGGATATGCGCCTTTTTCCAAAATTAATATTAACAAGAAATTCGCTTATACATATATACTTTTTTTCTCTCGAAATAATTAATGAATAAAAACATAAGAGCATAGTAACTGAAAAACAACACGTAAGCCAAAAAGACGCCTTGTCCTCCCGTAGCGGGTGAAAGCGGCGATAAGAGCGTGCTAACGAACTCGGCAGCAGACCTTGGCAATAATTGGATTGGGGAAATTGCGAGGCAATTATCACAGGCTATCTGTGTGCAAGGTAGGGCTAACCTAAACAAACCGCACGTGGAGGCCATGAGAGGGCCGTTGTTTTGAAATTAAATAATGAGGCAGACAGAACATTGACACTAACACTCCACCTTATAATTAAATAACTAAATTTAATAAATAATAGGCTCCAAGGACAACCTTCCAACCTCAGCACGGGCCGTTTAAAAAAAAAACACACACACAGCTGAGAGCCAGCGGTGCCTAGGGTCGCGGAGAGTTCGCGATAGCCTAGATATAGGTGAGTCAAAAAGCTCAACCATTTATTCTGCATCTTCTAGCGTTAAAGTTCGATATTCAACAACAGTAGGCTAAAATTATGGATCCTCACGCTCTCTCTAATTAGAGACCAGGTTACGAGCTACATCAATGAATTATTGCCCATTTGCTAATCCAATACTGAATGTCAATTCATCTTTAATAAGTTTCTGTACAACCTGACCGAAGCGTATGACAAACACAGAATTTTACTAAAGTCAAAACGAATTCCCTAACCTTAGCAGAAATTCCCTAACCTTAACATTACCTAGCAGGCACCACACACGTAGTAGACGGCATGAAGGTCAAGGACAAAATACTCACCACATAGACACAGCTCAAGGAGATCACGCCCACCAACCCACAAGCATGGATCACAAGACCCACATAAGAGAAACAAGGGACACAAGCCATGGGACAGATACGAATCCTCGGACAGAGGGAGATCACGACACAGACACAGGAAACATGACAGTAGTGATAGCGAAGGCAGGGACAGCTCGAGTGAGCACTCCTCAGGAACAGACGCCACCGACGACGATCAACACACTTTCAATATGAAAACCCTCAAACTAATGGAGAAAGCGCTCGTGAGAATTCCCTATTTCGATCCACACAACAAGAACAGGGATATACACACTCACATCGCAATGGTAGAAGCAGAAGCAATGATCCGGGGTCTGAGTAAATCAGCAAAAAAGACATGTTTATTATCAAGGAGCCTACATGAATCCGCCAGACCATGGGTAACATCCCTGCCAAATAGGGTCAAGAGTGATTTAAAACAATTGAGCCGAGCAGTAATTAAGAGATTTGGGGACTACTCCACACGATCCGAAGGATTGAACGTGACAAAATTGATGACTCAGCGTGTAGACGAAGACCCACGAGATTATCTCCTACGCTTCAAGAGAGCATATTATGCAGGTGACGTGGACAACGCCCAGGAAGAACGGAAAATATTAAAAGTTATGTTCTTCCAATCACTAAGACCTGAAATAATGAGAATAGTAGGAATGATACTGGACCCCGAGACTGCCTCTCTATGCCAGATCGAAAGCAAAGCCCACACGGCCTGGGTGAACGAACGGAAAACCACTAGCATAGCCAAAACACACATCGTCACCAAAGATAAAGAACGCCTCGATCTGGAGGGAAGCGAATTACCAAGAAATAATAATAACACCACACGGGACGGACATGAAACCCCCTAGGAGAGGGCGCCAAATCAACACCCATCAGCAGCATGTTGAATAACGTTCCACGTGGGGAGAAAAGCGAGGCCAGAGGAACCTGGCACCCACGGCCGCCACAGCCCTGGAATACAGAAGAGGGCGGATCTTGGAACTATGGAGGAGGGAGAGCAAGTGACGGGTCATACCTACCCCGCGGAGGCCAACGCCCACCGAGCCAATCACCATATCGTCTCCCACTGCCGCCTCCACTAGCAATAGGGTATAGACCACAGTCAGCCAACAGGAGTCGATACGCCCACCACAGTTGGATGGAAAGAGAACACCAAGAGAGTATGAAGACTCCCATGCAAACAGCAAAGGCAAGAATACCAACAGAACACACACAGGAAGAGGACACACCCAACGCAAAGATAGCCCAAGTGAACATAAGAAACTCAAGAAACCCCAAAGCAGTCACCGAAGTGGTACCAGAGGGTAAAGGGTACCATCTGGGGAAATTAATTCCCGTAGGACTGGTCGGACGAGTCCACGTGGAAGTAATACTGCAAGACACCCTGACCAGCCAGGGCCTTTGTGATACTGGAGCAGAAATATCCATGATATCCAGAGACCTATTTGATGAACTCCAGACTGCCCTCCAGAGGAAGAATGAAACACTACAGATGATGCCAAGTAGGCTTACCTACTCAGGATGCGAAGGGACCCAGATGCGACCATTGGGCAAGGTCATGATGAAGCTCACGTTCAACAAAATCAACATGAGCCATCCACTGTATGTCGTACAGAACCCAGGAAAAGAGCTGATCATTGGGATCGAACTACTGAATCACCTTAAACCCATTATGAACCTTGAATCCCGACAAATATGGGCACAGTCAATGCCGGAGCAGCATAAAGATCCAGAAAATGAAGAAGCCGGAAAAGACTCTACGGGAATTCAAACGATAACACAAGAACCCAACGACCTGTCACAGGCAATCAAGAACGAAACCAAGCGTCCAGCAGAAATACAGACCACTCAACTACTGACCAACATACTGGGAAAGGACCTTGAGGAAGCCGACCTACGACCAGTAGATCCCAAGGACTGTCCCCTCATGTAGTATATACCGCCCACTAGTGGCCACACAGGCGAACAGGGGACTGGTGAAGGAGAACCCAAGGCCAGGAGTATATTCCCCTCGGGTGAAGCAAAGACACATATTTACGAAAATCGCCACGTGTGGCAGCCAGGAGCAGAATCACGCCGATTCCCAATTCCACGGCAAGCACCCACGACCGACCAATATAATTACACCCACAGAGGACAGGGTAACCATCCCGCGAGGCAATGGCCCACAGGCTGGGAGCGATCATACTGTGCAAAGACACATATTTACGAAAATCGCGGCATGTGGCGACCGAGAGCAGAATTATGCCGGGCCCCAATGCCACAACACATGAAAGGTCAAACACAATCTGTCCACTTCCGACCGATCCCACCACCAGCTTTACCAGGAGAGAGAGGGGGCATGAGAAATAGGGAGACAGGGGTGAGCTTGGCTGTGACACAAAAGGTAACACAGGCACGTGATGAATCGCTCACAGGGATTGAGAGGAAGCTTTCAGTAAAAGAGAGGTGTCCACTGAGCTGAGGAAAAATCACAGCCCCGTTAAAGAAATTAAGCAAACTGCTGGTGAACAGGAAAATCAGGAGAGTGATGATTGGGAAAAATTAAATGCGTCGGGCACCAGTTCTGATAATGTGGTGGAGAACGCAGGTGTTGCACCCGTAATTGACACACCTATCGAACCGGAAAACATAATTGCATTGAAGTATGATCCGACAGGAGATGATAACCAACCGCAGGGAGGGGAAGTAAAACCTGATTGTCTGGTAAATGGAAATGCCACCCCTTGTGTCGCGAAATTGCGTGAGGGTACTGCGAGTGTGGCAGAGAAAAGTGCTGCAGAGACTTACAAGCATAAGTCTTTGAGTGGAAATCCTGCTCTGGCACACTAAGGAGGGATGGAGATCAGAGTGTTGACATGGAGGAGATGAAGATCCATGACGGATCGGGAATTTTGTTGAAATACAGAGTACTCAGAGGCATGGAACCGAATCGTGGCCCAGAAGCAAATCGACTCCCAGAGTCAACCGATGTACACAGGGCTGCGGTGAATGCAAACGTCCCCGACAATCGAGCACGGAAGCTCGTGGTGTTTACTGATCCTGGTTACGCACAGCATAATTTCACGCCACATAATTCCAGATGGAAAGAGAGGGATAAAAAAATTGACCGACACGAACCAGTAAACCGTTCACATTTGGCGAAAGCCATAACGACGATGAACCCGGATGATGATGGTGTGATGTGGCATGGAAAGGTCACAGGTTACACTAAAATACCTGGCCATGAGAGATATGATGATATACTCTTGACCAAAGG